CTCCACCTATCACCTGAGTGTCATCTTCTTTCACTTGAGCTTTTCCTTTTTCTGTCATAAGGAAAGCTCCTTCAGATGTACTTTCTTGTCTAATAGCCTTTCTTTACTCAACGGCTTGAAGAGAACCAACAAGTTCACTCAAAGTCATCCTTGAAAGATCCTTTGAATCTTCCAATGAGGAGATTTTGTGCTCAAATTTTTCTGGTAGGCTGACAAGAACTTTTTCAACAACCCTTGTTTCTCTGAGTTCTCCACCAAGGACCCTTATTTGGTTCACCGTCTTCATCACTCGGTCTGAATATTCCTTCACTGTCTCTGTTTCTTTCATCCTCAACACCTCGAACTCCCTTCTCAAGTTATTAATTTGGATCTCCTTGGAACTCTTCTTTGATTGTGTCCCAGGCTTCCTTTGCTGTCTCACAAGTAATAATTCTGTTGAAAATTTCATCTGATACAGACCCATGGATACACGTAAGAGCCTTGTACCTCTTTGTAGACTCTTCTGTGTGCCTCTTGATCTGATTTAAAGTTGGGTTTTCCGGCAAGGCTGCAGGTTCCCTATCATTTTCAACAAAATCCCAAAGATCAAACGCCCTTAGGTAGGCCTTCATCTTCATAGACCAAGCAGAGTAGTTTTGGCCTGCAAAGTATGGAGTTTTGGGTGTGAAATTAGAGGATTCCATGGTTGAAATCACTCCCTCAAGTGTTTACACTCAGACGACACGGTCCCTCCAAGAACAAAAGTGCTCTGATACCAATTGTTAGTTTGTAAACAAAGAGATGAAGATCTGGTAAGTGCAGAACTGAAATTTCCCATTGAACAAATTTGCTTTTTGCAAGGAAATAAAGAAACTACTAAAAACTGAAAGTTAACTGCACTACAATGGAAAAACAAGCTGGATTAAAAAACCAACTAATAACTGCTACAAACTAAAAAATAGTGTGACAGCATTTGTGTCACTGTCTTTACATTGCTGTTTTCATTTCCTTGCATGGAAGCCATTTTAGTACTCTAGAGGCATCACATGCACCAGGAAGGGAGGTGTTGAATTGAGTGGTCCAAAACCAATTTAGATTGCTATAAAATCTAAATAGACAATATTGGCACCATTTGCAAGTGAGTTTTCCTTTATATTGTTTTTAAAAACGTGCATCGTGGTTGAGGGTACTCCAGTATAATTTTCCAGCCTAGAAAAATTGTCTGTATCTGCTGTCCATGGATCTTGTCAGTAACTTTTATGATGTGAGACATTGATTTGTTTGTACAACCATGCCATTGAAGCCTTAGCCCTGCCATAATGCCCCTAACAATTCTCCAACCACATCTTCTTGTACAAACAAGGGTGTCAACAAGTTGAGCTACTCGGAGTTAACTGCAATGTCATTATGGCATCGAGTTCGATTCATTTACTTAAACAAGTTCAATTTTAAATCACAGATTTTTTATGGTGTGTTATGCAGCAGAAAATAAGGATTCGAGGTTGGTTTTGAATCGAATTTGGGTTCCATGTTGTTTTAAATTCTTTTTCAAATGGAGCTCCAGCACAAGCCAAGGAAATTATAGGAGAGTAAAATTCAGAATCTCAATGGACCAGCCGATCAGCCCCCTCTCTATAATGGCAGATCTTCTCATGGGACAATGAGAGGACATGCTATCTTGTGGGGTTAAGTCATCCATTCTAAGAGACGGGAAATTTTACACCTTTGCATGTTGTTTGGTTAATTTCTAGGTTGATCCTGTTTCAAACACTCTTTAATTATTGATAATCATGCACAGGATTTAGAAATATGATGAATTCTGGTGATTGGACCCTTTTTTTTTTTTTTTCTTTCTTTTCCTTCTTTTGTTTTTGATTACATGGGATAATGTATAATAGAATTCTGAATCATCAGTCTCATAAATGGTTGCAGAATCTAATCAGAAAATCAACTAAGAGTTCTCTATAGTTATTTAAAACTACCTTTCTTTCATATCTTTCTTGCTTTTTTCACAAATAATTGAAGCTAATCTATGATGTAGCATTATTTGTGATTATAGAGACATAGAATAGACTAGCCGGCACAGGTGTTTCTGATACTCTGTAGATTTGAAGTGTGAGATGTTGATTCATTACTGAAGATGCCATAGAACAAAACATGTGATGTCGACATTATGATATGAAGTAGATTTGAAGGATTTGGTGATGGCCCCATTGCCTAGACATGAAAGGAAGGGTAAATGGATTGTTAAGATAATGAGACAAGCATGGCCACATATGCATTGATGCAACCCCTTCCAGCTGAAGGGCATTCACTAATTTTCCTGATCTCCAATCCAAATGACCGGGCAATCTCAGCTTTTTCAGGCACTTTCGTCTTCAAAATCATGTCGGGAAACTGTCATAAACTACTATTTAATACCTAAATTTGGTGTGATTAACATGAATGCAGTGATAGGTTCAACAGAGAAAGAAAATTTCATACTTTGACTATAAGTAGATGCTTGATGCTCAAGGTACTTAGCATCATTGGCGAATCAGATTGACAATTGCTTGACAATTCCTTCACAGAAACTTGCATTTGACAATCCATTTTATGTCATATAAACAGGGTAAAACAGGGTTTGTTACTGGAGTTTTCAAGCTTAAGCTTGGCTTGAACTGGAACAACACCAGAAACTTGAATTCCTCTCTTCATTTGGAAGCAAATAGCTCACTTCCTAGAGTGATTGTTGCAGTACTTTCACCCATCATTGTTGTTAATGCCATCTCTTTCTCATGAATCTGTTCAAGTCCACGCACGACCATGTCCATTTGTGGCCTCCCAGTTCCTGGGAAACTCATGCATTGTAGTGTCAGCCTGATCAAATCTCGGATTCCTTCCATGGTGAAGGTTCCCACTAGCCGGCGATCAACAAAATTGTTTGTACTTAGTTGTGATAGTACCTTCAAAAAGATAGGGAAAGCAATAGGATTCAAGTTCTTTTTGTGTGTTTCTCATAAGGTCAGCAAGCATATATGACTTGGAAAAGGTTGATCATTTTAAAGAAAACACCAGAAATGGAGAACATTCTCCTACCCATTGAATCAAGGTATCATTGGATCCAAATGAGCCTATTTTCACAGCTTGCTGTCCAGTTACAAGCTCCAAAAGAAACACTCCAAAGCTGTAAATGTCACTCATTTCACTGAAGTTCCCTGAAGCTCCCACCCTGAAATTCACACAAAATTTAAACTGAATGTAAGTAAAGGATTAATACTTTTAATAGTAGAGAGAGACCAAATAAACTCTGAAGAAATTGATTTTTACTCTGGATCTTGGAAAACATTGGCAGTAGATGTGCGAGATGGACCTGCTTCTTCTATCTTTTCGAGAGCCTTAACACCCCAGCATCAGCAACCTTAGCAATGAAGTTCTCATCAACCAGAGATTGGCTGTTTTTTCCTCCATATTGGAGGGTTTTCCACTTAAATTTTGTGTTCTTTACTCTTTATATTTCCTACTGTGTTTTCTGATATATTTATTTAACTGTCATTGGATGGAGCTCTATTCCGATAAGATTGGCTTGGTTGGGATCAGGTACCATGGCTACAGTCCTAACAATTTTGCCATATATCATTACAATCTTGGTCATGAACGCTATCTATATATAATGGTCAGACCATCAAATTTACGGAAGTTATTTCAATGCCTTGGAGGCAACATATGCACCGGGGAAGAAGGTATCCAATGGTCCAAACACCGAAACCAATTTTAAATTACCATAAAAGAACTAAAGTTTAAATAGAGAATTTTAATTTTTTTCACCATTTGTAAGTGAGTTCTTGTAGAATTTTTTTTTTTTTTTTAATGTGCATTTTGGTTGAGGATGCTCCACTCCAATACAATTTTCAGGCAGAGAAAAATTGGTTGCATCGTATGGCTTGGTTTTACATGCTGCTATGTACTGTAGCAGTATTTTTTTGTCCTTTTTTTTTATTATCTAAAAAATATAAAATATTAGTTAAAATTAATATAAAAAATAAAAAAATTA